TTCTTTCTTTCTTTCTTTCTTTCTTTCTTTCTTTCTTTCTTTCTTTCTTTCTTTCTTTTTCTATTATCAGCTTGATACGGTATAAATTCTTATACTATATAGTGACATGTTTCATTGAGGCTTGCCCAGCAATTGAGTAAAGCCAAAACTTATTATAAGCCACAGTCATCCTAGGGTCCCCCCTGCTATATAGCCTGCCTGGTTCTGTGGGTTGCAGTCTGATTGTTCTTTGCTTTATATCTAGTATCCACTTATGAGTGAGTACATACCATGTTTGTCCTGGGTTTGGGTTACCTCACTCAGGATGATATTTTCTAGTTCCATCCATGTTTCTTATGTATAAAAGTAAAACTCAGTAGCTGGAGAGATGGCTTAGCAGTTAAGAGCACATACTGTTCTTCTGGAAGGCTTGAATTCAGTTCCCAGCACCCATGTTAAGATGCGCCTAACTCTCCATAGCTCCAGCGGGATCCAGTACCTTCTAATGGCATCCCTGACCCTACCTAGACAGAAACAGACAGACAGATAGACAGACACACACACACACACACACACACACACACACACACACACACAGAATTTAAAATAATAAAAGCATTTTTTTTATATTTTATTTTATTTAAAAATTCTTTTTCATTTTACATACCAACCACAGTTCCTCCTCCCTCCCCTTCTCTCAACCCCCCCCCCCACCTCCCACCCCACCATACCTCCATCTACTCCTCATAGGGGGTAAGGCCTCCTTTGGATAGTTAGTCAACACAGCCTAGCATATCAAATTGGGACAGGACCAAGCTCCTCCCGCCTGGATCAAGGCTAAGCAGGGCATCCCACCATAGGGAATGAGCTCTAAAAAGCCAGTTCATGTACCCAGGATAAGTCCTGGTCCTTCTGCCAGGGGCCCCACAAACAGATCAAGCCACCCAACTGTCACTCACATTCAGAGGGCCTAGTTTGGTCTCATGCAGGCACCCCAGCTGTCAGTCCAGAGTCTGTGAGCTCCCATTAGCTTGGGTCAGTTGTCTCTATGGTTTTCCCCATCATGATCTTGACCCCCCCCCACACACACACACACACCTTGCTCCTATAATCCTTCCTCCCTCTCTTCAACTGAACTCCAGGAGCTCTGCCAAGGGGCTCTGCATCTGCTTCCATCAGTCACTGGATGTAGGTTCTGGATGACAACTAGGGTAGACACCAGTCTGAGTGCAGGAGAAGGCTAGTTCAGGCATCCTCTCCACCATTGCTAAGAATCTTGGTTGGGGTCATCCTTGAGGGTATCTGGGGATTTCCTTAGAACCAGATTCCTCCCTAACCCCCAATGGCTCCCTCTGTCCAGATATCTCTTTCATTACTCTCCTCCGTCCCTCCCCCCAACTTGGCCATCTCGATCCCTCATGTTCCCACTCCCCTCCATTCCCTCCCCACTACCCTTCCTCCCAGTTTACCCAGGAGGACTTAGCCATTTCCCTTTCTTGGGATGATCAAAGCATGACCCTCTTAGGGTCCTCCTCTTTACCTAGCTTCTCTGGGGTTGTGGGTTGGAGCCTGGTTATCCTTTGCTTTGTGTCTAATATCCATTTACAAGTGAGTACATACCATATTTGTCTTTCTGGGTCTGGGTTACCTCACTTAGGATGATTTTTTTTCTAGTTCTATCCATTTGCCTTCAGATTTCTTGGCGTCCTTGTTTTTAACAGCTGAGTAATACTCCATTGTGTAAATGTCCCACATTTACTTTATTCATTTATCAATTGAGGAGCATCTAGATTGTTCCCAGCTTCTGGCTATTACAAATAATGCTGCTATGAACATAGTTGAGCATGTATCCTTGTGGTATGATTGAGCATCTTTTGGGTATATGCCCAAGAGTGGTAGTGCTGGGTCTTGAGGTAGGTTGATTCCCAATTTTCTAAGAAATTACCATACTGATTTCCAGAGTGGCTGTACAAGATTGCACTCCCACCAGCAGTGGAGGAGTGTTCCCTTTTTTTCACATCCTCTACAACATAAATTGTCAATATTTTTGATCTTAGCCATTCTAACAAGTATAAAGATGGAATCTCAGTGTCGTTTTGATTTGCGTCTCCCTGATGACTAAGGATGTTGAGCACTTCCTTAAATGTCTTTAGGCCATTTGAGATTCTTCTGTTGAGAGTTCTCTGTTTAGGTCTGTACCCCATTTTTTAATTGGATTATTTAGTATTTTGATATTTAGTTTCTTGAGTTCTTTATATATTTTGGAGATCAGCCTTCTGTTAGATGTGGGGTTTGTAAAGATCTTTTCTCATTCTGTAGGCTGCCATTTTGTCTTATTGACCGTATCCTTTGCCTTACAAAAGCTTCTCAGTTTCAGGAGGTCCCATTTATTAACTGTTGTTCTCAGTGACTGTGCTACTGGTGTTATGGTCTCCTGTGCCAATGCATTCAAGACTACTTCCCACTTTCTCTTCTATCAGGTTCAGTGTAACTGGATTTATGTTCAGGTCTTTGATCCACTTGGACTTAAGTTTTGAGCATGGTGACAAATATGGATCTATTTGCAGCCTTCTACATGTTGACATCCAGTTATGCCAGCACCATTTGTTGAAGATGCTTTCTTTTTCCATTGTACAATTTTGGATTCTTTGTCAAAAATTGGGTGTTCTAGGTGTGTGGATCAATGTTAGGGTCTTCAATTTGATTCCATTGACCCATGTGTCTGGTTTTATGCCAATACCAAGCTGTTTTTACTATAGCTCTATAACAGAGCTTGAAGTCAGGGATGGTGATGCCTTCGGAAGTTCCCTTATTGTATAGGATTGTTTTAGCATATGAAGTTGAGTATTGTTCTTTCCAGGTCTGTGAAGAATTGTGTTGGGATTTTGATGGAGATTGCATTGAATCTGTAGATTGCTTTTGGTAAGATTGCCATTTTTACTATGTTAACCCTGCCTATCCATGAGCATGGGAGATCTTTCCATTTCCTGAGATTTTTTTTTCAAAAACAAAAAC